ACCTGATCCGCATGAGCATTTTCTCTATAAAAGAAGAAGATGAAGACTCGCTATCCACCTGATGTATTTTGCTGGACATTTTTCTGTACATTGCAGGTAAATTTTTCATCTTTTCACTTTCCAGCCTATTATTGTGTTGTACATTTTGGTGTTTGAAGTAATACTTATTGCATTTCTTGATTTTTTAAAATTGATCTGAATTCCCCTTTTCTAGGCATAAATTTCAATAATGTAACTTATGGATTGTACTGTTTAAGACTACAGAGACTGAACTTTAATTTCTTATCAAAAGGATTGCCTTTCTCTTGTTTAAATTAATTGTAAACAAATATAATAGGGGGCACCTGCTATTTCTCTAAGTGCCTTTCACTGGGGGGTGGTGAAACATTTCTGCACTTACTTAATCAGCAGGATGGGTTAGATAAGAATCAATTAGTATATCAGAGTCTTAAATTATTTACTTCTCATAAGCATCAAAAAAATTCTGAATCAGTCTTTTTAAAAAACTTTAAATTTTGCTTTATTAGCTATGATTTGTCAAATTTTGCAGCTTTTTTTAAATTCTGGGTAGAATCCACCCTTATGAAAAAATTGACACAAATGTGACTTTATATCATTTTATTAACATCAAAAAACAAAATCATGCAATTGTATAAATATTTTATTCATTACAATCACAACTATATCCAGGTCGGATCACAGGAATGAAAGTTATTCATTCCCTAGAACACTACTTGCAGCAGGGAGGTGTCATTAATTTAGATGGTCACAGTTTTCAGGACACTGAAGTGACAGGCCTCAAATTTCATACATATACATTGGTAGGTATAAGGTCTTTGAAAATTACAAAATTGACTAATTCTGGGATAGGTAAATATGTAAGTATAGGAATGAGAGCACCAAATCCCCGGATGTACACGTGGTTTTGTTTGTTATGGAAAGTAGTATAGAGTACTGAATAGTGTGTGTTACCTGATTGGCTGAATTCGGGTATGTAATTATTTTCATTTTAAAGTAAAAATATTAATGTTTGAAATAAATGATGGAATGTAGGAATATTACAGAAAATATAGAAATACCAGGGGAGATTGTAGGAGTGGGGGTTGATATTTTTGGCAGAGTGACATTTACTGCCGATCGCTATAAGTTGTAAACAACTGCAATTTTGACCTATAAACGCCATGGGACCCTATATTTTTTTCGGGCTTTTTTATAAGCGCTTAGAATAAAGTTTCAAATGGTGCCAAGGATTTGTCTGAAATTGAATTAGTAGAGTACTGAGAGGGCAAAAGGTTTGTATAGAGTTCTATGGGAAAATAATTAGTGGTCTTTTCCCTATAGAGACCCCAACTTTTGCAATGTTAGGTGAATTGAAAGTCATGAAAAGTTATTTTTAGCTATTTATTTGAGTATTGAAGACATACCGAGAGAAAAAATAGCACAAAACTTCATTAGTTTTTGGGGGGTGGGGATTGAGGGGAATTGTGTCCTTTGTAAAAGGGAGGGGGGGGGGGGTAGAGAAGAAAGTAGAGATTGGTATAGGATTGTGCAGTTTACATAGCCAGAGGAGGAAAGTAAGTTAAGAAAGTGCATCAGATTGCTCTTATGATGAATGTTTGTATGTATGTATAAATATATGTACGTATTATGTATGTACATGTATGTATTTTTATGTTATTGCTTTATATGTGTATATATATGGAAGTGTAGGGGCTGTGACCTGGTGTTGATTTTTATTTAGTTTCTTACACGTTTGCACTTTCGGTATCTTTTCGAATACTTTTGTTGACCCTTAAAAGGGCCTTTTTTTTGGTGGTCATGTGAAAGGAGCACATTTTTCTGTCTTGACATCTCATGTCTGGTATTGTATGTGATCCTCTGGATTGCTTCCCTTGGACTTCAGGGTGAGGAATTTGTAGTTAAGTTGTTTCTTTGTTGTAGCTACACAAATGTCTGTATTTTCCCTTTCTTGCAGCCTCGTTTTTTCATCAGGGTGGCCCTCTGTAACTCATTTTCTGCTGCTTTCCAGTTTTTGTACTTAGAGTTACTTCCCTTAGACTTGCTAAACAGACATGCAGAATTTCAACATGATGAAATCTTTATTGCTGGGACCTTAGGCTTCTGATTTTTTTTCATGAATTACTGGAATGGCTTTAAACTGCATGTATCACATTTGACCTTTCATGTATTTACATGTAATTACATGTAATATTGTATAACATGTACCCCACCCTTGGGGGATCCATTTTTTAAATAATCAACTGATGTAGCATTTATGTAAATTGTTAATTTTTCAGAAAACTTGAAAAATATTGCTGTTTCATTATTGCTTTGTGCTTAATTTGACCAACTTTACTGATTCATTTTCATTTAAGCACTGTAGAGGACTTTCATCTTTCAGCTTCCTCGGCCCCGGGAGAGGTCGGTACCTGATCCGCATGAGCATTTTCTCTATAAAAGAAGAAGATGAAGACTCGCTATCCACCTGATGTATTTTGCTGGACATTTTTCTGTACATTGCAGGTAAATTTTTCATCTTTTCACTTTCCAGCCTATTATTGTGTTGTACATTTTGGTGTTTGAAGTAATACTTATTGCATTTCTTGATTTTTTAAAATTGATCTGAATTCCCCTTTTCTAGGCATAAATTTCAATAATGTAACTTATGGATTGTACTGTTTAAGACTACAGAGACTGAACTTTAATTTCTTATCAAAAGGATTGCCTTTCTCTTGTTTAAATTAATTGTAAACAAATATAATAGGGGGCACCTGCTATTTCTCTAAGTGCCTTTCACTGGGGGGTGGTGAAACATTTCTGCACTTACTTAATCAGCAGGATGGGTTAGATAAGAATCAATTAGTATATCAGAGTCTTAAATTATTTACTTCTCATAAGCATCAAAAAAATTCTGAATCAGTCTTTTTAAAAAACTTTAAATTTTGCTTTATTAGCTATGATTTGTCAAATTTTGCAGCTTTTTTTAAATTCTGGGTAGAATCCACCCTTATGAAAAAATTGACACAAATGTGACTTTATATCATTTTATTAACATCAAAAAACAAAATCATGCAATTGTATAAATATTTTATTCATTACAATCACAACTATATCCAGGTCGGATCACAGGAATGAAAGTTATTCATTCCCTAGAACACTACTTGCAGCAGGGAGGTGTCATTAATTTAGATGGTCACAGTTTTCAGGACACTGAAGTGACAGGCCTCAAATTTCATACATATACATTGGTAGGTATAAGGTCTTTGAAAATTACAAAATTGACTAATTCTGGGATAGGTAAATATGTAAGTATAGGAATGAGAGCACCAAATCCCCGGATGTACACGTGGTTTTGTTTGTTATGGAAAGTAGTATAGAGTACTGAATAGTGTGTGTTACCTGATTGGCTGAATTCGGGTATGTAATTATTTTCATTTTAAAGTAAAAATATTAATGTTTGAAATAAATGATGGAATGTAGGAATATTACAGAAAATATAGAAATACCAGGGGAGATTGTAGGAGTGGGGGTTGATATTTTTGGCAGAGTGACATTTACTGCCGATCGCTATAAGTTGTAAACAACTGCAATTTTGACCTATAAACGCCATGGGACCCTATATTTTTTTCGGGCTTTTTTATAAGCGCTTAGAATAAAGTTTCAAATGGTGCCAAGGATTTGTCTGAAATTGAATTAGTAGAGTACTGAGAGGGCAAAAGGTTTGTATAGAGTTCTATGGGAAAATAATTAGTGGTCTTTTCCCTATAGAGACCCCAACTTTTGCAATGTTAGGTGAATTGAAAGTCATGAAAAGTTATTTTTAGCTATTTATTTGAGTATTGAAGACATACCGAGAGAAAAAATAGCACAAAACTTCATTAGTTTTTGGGGGGTGGGGATTGAGGGGAATTGTGTCCTTTGTAAAAGGGAGGGGGGGGGGGGTAGAGAAGAAAGTAGAGATTGGTATAGGATTGTGCAGTTTACATAGCCAGAGGAGGAAAGTAAGTTAAGAAAGTGCATCAGATTGCTCTTATGATGAATGTTTGTATGTATGTATAAATATATGTACGTATTATGTATGTACATGTATGTATTTTTATGTTATTGCTTTATATGTGTATATATATGGAAGTGTAGGGGCTGTGACCTGGTGTTGATTTTTATTTAGTTTCTTACACGTTTGCACTTTCGGTATCTTTTCGAATACTTTTGTTGACCCTTAAAAGGGCCTTTTTTTTGGTGGTCATGTGAAAGGAGCACATTTTTCTGTCTTGACATCTCATGTCTGGTATTGTATGTGATCCTCTGGATTGCTTCCCTTGGACTTCAGGGTGAGGAATTTGTAGTTAAGTTGTTTCTTTGTTGTAGCTACACAAATGTCTGTATTTTCCCTTTCTTGCAGCCTCGTTTTTTCATCAGGGTGGCCCTCTGTAACTCATTTTCTGCTGCTTTCCAGTTTTTGTACTTAGAGTTACTTCCCTTAGACTTGCTAAACAGACATGCAGAATTTCAACATGATGAAATCTTTATTGCTGGGACCTTAGGCTTCTGATTTTTTTTCATGAATTACTGGAATGGCTTTAAACTGCATGTATCACATTTGACCTTTCATGTATTTACATGTAATTACATGTAATATTGTATAACATGTACCCCACCCTTGGGGGATCCATTTTTTAAATGCCCGTACGAACAAGTGAGGCGTAAACCAGCTGGATGAGACATGGAAACCAGCTGGTTTCTAGACGGAATTCAGAATTACGTGTCTTTACCAGGCGTACATGAGCAGGACACGTATTCCTGCTCTTTGCACACACGGAATACGTGTCATTTTCCGCCTCTTGGGCCAGGCGTAATTCTTGTATCAGGCGTAATGCTGAACTTAGTAAAATTGGTAAGGCGTAATGTTGGACTTAGAAAAATTGGTGAGGCGTAATGTTGGACTTAGAAAAATTGGTGAGGCGTAATGTTGGTCTTAGAAAAAAATAGAAAAGGTACAATGTAGGCAAAACATTATATTTCACTTTTCTTTTGTTAACAATAAATCCATTGGCAATATTTACAGTGAAATACTTTATAGATTAGAAAACTTTAAGATAAATATTTCAGCATTTGTGTTTGTCCTTCCCAACATCATTGTTGAGCTAAGATAATTTCTAGCTGAAATTACAGTCCCATCACAGATGTCCTTATAAGTTCCACCAGCTATATTTCTGTTAAACCACTCTTGCATTTTGCTTTAAAAAATCCATCTTGAAAAATAATGGATTGTGGAGTAGATTTATAACAGGTATTTCCAGAAAGAAGTTTTTGGTTTCTTGAATGGTGTTTGACAAAATTCCTTTAGACAGATGACACAATCAACATTTTATTGGCCCCTAAACAACGATGACAATGAAAGTGGTAAGCACCGTCACAAAGGTTCCTTAGTTTTTTGTTTTTTTTTGGACAACTGTTAAATGCATATATGTCAAATGGTATATAAAATGTGTTCTGCTAGCATCACATCTGAAATTATGTTCAAAAGTTGTTGGATTCATCATCTATTATTGGTGCAAATCACAGCAAGCACTAACATGAATACTCTTATTGAAATACGGATGTTACAGAGCAAAGAAAGAAGTTGGAAGTCTTGATCATCATGCTCCGTAACATTGCAATTTCTTCAGTGATATCATCCAAAATGTATTCCTCTTCATCAGATAAATCAGAAAAGAGAATACTTCCTCTTCATTATCAGAAAAATCCTCATCACTAAATTTTATGTATCTTTTTGGCAGTTGGGGTTCTTTGTTTCTTAAATGTTGTCATGTTACTCATCAAATGGTCCAGCACAGACTCTTCATGGTCAGACATCTAATTCAAGAATAAAACACTACTATTACCCAGTTAATCAAATGCATGCAAGTGAACATTAATTTAATCGACTAAAATATATATATTTTTAAAAACCAGAAATTGGTGTGTAGGTTGTATTGTTACAAGCTAATCAATATGTACAAAAAAATAATTAATTTTCTTTAAACGTATTGAGAAAAAAAAAATCGATGAGAACTCATTCGTATTTTTTTTCTCTTGCTTTACATGTACTGTATGATTATCAACAGCTGATCAAGTAGCAGGGATCTAATCTGGGTCCCTGCAATTTGCAAGAAGTAAATAATTTGTAATCTAATAGTAAAGCGATACAAACAAAACAAAACAATGTTATTTAAGGTGACCTACCTCGCTCATGATGATTATTTCTGCGCCTTCGTCTTCTAACTTCAGAGTCGATTTAGTTCCGAGATAATTCGGGTTGCAATCTGTAAAACGGAAGTAACATTCTATTAAATTGATTGTCGATCCCGATATATGTAGGTCGATCTTTTTTAAAAAAAAAAAAAAACAACAACTGTAAAATACTTACCGATATCAGTTTCCTAGAATCTTCTACGGTTTTCTCGCAATCAATGATTCCTGTTCTTGTTATTTATGTCTCGGCAAATTTACACATTTCGATCACAAATTCTGTACCTTGTAATGCATCTCATATTTTAAATCTCCATCGTTCTATAAATTAACTTGAGCTGAAATTTGCTAAATTTTACAAACGCTTTCCGTAAGTAACCTTCTTTATTTTGTTTGGTTATTCCATGATTTTCCAATGTGCCGAGAACAACTGTAAACTAAGGTGTTTTCTCAGAGGCCAAGGGGAATCGCCTTACAAAATGATCTCAGTGAAATTTATTGATCTACATATTGATTTTGCATTTTAAAAAAAAATTCGACAAATTAATACTAAAAGAACGCATTTTATTATTTTGAGAGACGTTTTTGGGGAAAAGTTTGTAATAGCTTTTGTATCGATCCCGTCGTGAACCTCAACAGTAGAGCATCTTCGAACCGGGGCTGCAGAAACTTGATATCCCACGCTATCAAAATCCCGCCCGCATGGTCATTTCAAATTCTGTTGCTTTGAAAGAAACATTGCCCTGCCGATTTCTACTTGTTTCTGACAACTTGGTTTTACTTGAAAGTGAAAATACTTCGATGAGGATTGCAGTTTGACTGTCGTGGGAGAAAAAGACAAAACGTTGACAATAAGGACGGAATCCGAAGTGAGATACCATCATTCATGGCCCCATCATCAATGGTAAGAATTTTTTAGATTTTCATACTCCAGCGATGTTAACACTTTGAAATATACCATATAGTATTATCTATAAAAATTTAAGAAATGTGCTTTTAAAATCATTCTGTTAACATGGTTAATGATTAGATTACATGTAGCATGCGTGTTTGTTTACGCTTGGAGACCTGTCGTATTTGTAAACTACTGCTGTTGTATACTCCATGATTTTTTTTTTTAAATTATCTTTCTATCGCATAATTATCATTTTTAGTATTTATCATTTCGAAAAAATATATACAAAACAAAAAATATACGAGACATTTTCCACCTTTTTTTTTAAAAAGTCGGGTTCAAGATGAGGGAAATATAAAGTCGCATGGATCACAACATGGTATTGATGGTATGAATTATAAATTTGCCACACGGCGCGGTGGCTGTCTTAAAAATTTTACTAGACAAAATAATTACAGTAATTTTAATCAAAAGCTGTCCTGATAACAAATAGAGTGCACTTTCTGATAAGCTGACCATGTTAACATGGTTAAGGTGATGTTTAATGGGTTGCTACAATGCATAGGTGGATCGGAAACTTTTCATACCCAATCAATATATATATATATATATATATATATATATATATATATATATATATATATATATATATATATATATATATATATTAATAACTTTCTTGTATTCGTTCCTTCCTACTGACTTACAAGGGGTCTGTTTTGTGTTTCTTAAAAGGGAGGGGGGGGGGGGGGGGTCAAGCTCAGATATGCTACACAAAGCTCACATTTCTTGGTGATAATTTTGTTATATGTGTGTGTATTTGTAGATGATGAAGAGGAACTAACAAAGTTTGCTATTCGGCATGCAGCAAATTATTGGGAAACTTGCAGGAGAAAGCAAAAGATATTCCAGAGAGACTGTTTAATTTCTCAATCTAAACACAGAGAAAGCAAATGGGAAGAGAACAAGGGCTCCAACAGACAAAATAAAAGAAATTAAGGAACATGATGAAGAGTTTATCCCAAATAAGAAGAAAAAAACACTGAGGATACAAGAGAGAAGAAACAGGAGCTAAGTCCCAAGGAAAAGAAGATACCAAGTCACAAAACTCCTCCCTTGAGAAAACACTCTACTACCAACATTCTTTCATTGGTAGTAGTAGTAGATATTAGCATTTCATCCCATGGAGGATTGTGTTGAGGTTAGATAATAATAAAAAAAATAAAAACCTAAATAAAGTATTTGTAAAATACACATTCAATATTTGATATATTTAACTATATGCACGGCTGTAATATATTTCTATTCCTATCATCCAGATAATCAAGAAGCAGGCTTCCTGTGTCCAAATCCTCCTTCTTCAGAAAAACCAAGGGAGAATGACCAGGATATTTCACCCCCTGGAATATCTGAAGGGGTAAGATTTTCATGCCCCCAATTGAAGGACTGGGGATATATAGTGTTTGGTCTGTCTGTTTGTTTTCCTGTCAACCCATTATGTAATACAACAATTTTTTTTTCTCTAATTGTAAATACTGATCTTGTTGGACATAATGCATGTGATTTCAGACCTACATTAAAGCATGGCTACAATTTTCCTTCAGGTTATGCCCTTTAGTGGTGTGGAGAAAATGAAGGAAAAAAAGTGAACCAAGAACTGAACAATGCCATCACAGAGCAAGTCTCATTGCAGGACAAAAATTTAAAAAGGAACATGGGAAAGAAAAATATGAGAATGCTAAGAAGAGCTCAGTGCACGATACAAGATAAGCTAATGTAAAACACACTTATTCCGAAGTACAATGAATGAACAATTTTGATTAGGCGTAGTTCATTATATCCATTAAGTTCACAGCAATATTCTAAAATTTAAGGAAATGAAAATCACTATAACCATGAATTCATTATAAGCATCTCTGCTGTAATACAAAGTCATCAGAGATTGGTACACTGTATTTTCAAGATAATTTATAATTTTTGTATAATACAAATTTTGAATTTTCCTTAAATGGGAAGATTTATTAATGTAAAGTTTATTTGAATGACATTTTGTTGTCCATCAAAATGTTAAGAAAAACTGCCTTTGAATGTTATATAAATTGATACTAAGATATGGATGTTTTGATAAAATAAATACTTAGTTTTCAAAACATGTAATGTATTTTGTATATATCATTGTGTATTGTACGCCTGGACTTTTTTACGCCTGGACATTTTTACGCCTGGACGGTACGATCCTTTACGCCTGGTCTATTGAAGAGGCGTAAAATTTGCATATTACGCCTCTTTTTACGCCTGGTTTCCGTCTCATTTGACGCCTGGTTTACTTATATGGTATTGAGTCAAAATCCGCCTGGTTTTTGCAGAGCATGACGCCTGGTTTACGTGTTATTACCAGGCGTACAATTTCGTACAGGTAATCAACTGATGTAGCATTTATGTAAATTGTTAATTTTTCAGAAAACTTGAAAAATATTGCTGTTTCATTATTGCTTTGTGCTTAATTTGACCAACTTTACTGATTCATTTTCATTTAAGCACTGTAGAGGACTTTCATCTTTCAGCTTCCTCGGCCCCGGGAGAGGTCGGTACCTGATCCGCATGAGCATTTTCTCTATAAAAGAAGAAGATGAAGACTCGCTATCCACCTGATGTATTTTGCTGGACATTTTTCTGTACATTGCAGGTAAATTTTTCATCTTTTCACTTTCCAGCCTATTATTGTGTTGTACATTTTGGTGTTTGAAGTAATACTTATTGCATTTCTTGATTTTTTAAAATTGATCTGAATTCCCCTTTTCTAGGCATAAATTTCAATAATGTAACTTATGGATTGTACTGTTTAAGACTACAGAGACTGAACTTTAATTTCTTATCAAAAGGATTGCCTTTCTCTTGTTTAAATTAATTGTAAACAAATATAATAGGGGGCACCTGCTATTTCTCTAAGTGCCTTTCACTGGGGGGTGGTGAAACATTTCTGCACTTACTTAATCAGCAGGATGGGTTAGATAAGAATCAATTAGTATATCAGAGTCTTAAATTATTTACTTCTCATAAGCATCAAAAAAATTCTGAATCAGTCTTTTTAAAAAACTTTAAATTTTGCTTTATTAGCTATGATTTGTCAAATTTTGCAGCTTTTTTTAAATTCTGGGTAGAATCCACCCTTATGAAAAAATTGACACAAATGTGACTTTATATCATTTTATTAACATCAAAAAACAAAATCATGCAATTGTATAAATATTTTATTCATTACAATCACAACTATATCCAGGTCGGATCACAGGAATGAAAGTTATTCATTCCCTAGAACACTACTTGCAGCAGGGAGGTGTCATTAATTTAGATGGTCACAGTTTTCAGGACACTGAAGTGACAGGCCTCAAATTTCATACATATACATTGGTAGGTATAAGGTCTTTGAAAATTACAAAATTGACTAATTCTGGGATAGGTAAATATGTAAGTATAGGAATGAGAGCACCAAATCCCCGGATGTACACGTGGTTTTGTTTGTTATGGAAAGTAGTATAGAGTACTGAATAGTGTGTGTTACCTGATTGGCTGAATTCGGGTATGTAATTATTTTCATTTTAAAGTAAAAATATTAATGTTTGAAATAAATGATGGAATGTAGGAATATTACAGAAAATATAGAAATACCAGGGGAGATTGTAGGAGTGGGGGTTGATATTTTTGGCAGAGTGACATTTACTGCCGATCGCTATAAGTTGTAAACAACTGCAATTTTGACCTATAAACGCCATGGGACCCTATATTTTTTTCGGGCTTTTTTATAAGCGCTTAGAATAAAGTTTCAAATGGTGCCAAGGATTTGTCTGAAATTGAATTAGTAGAGTACTGAGAGGGCAAAAGGTTTGTATAGAGTTCTATGGGAAAATAATTAGTGGTCTTTTCCCTATAGAGACCCCAACTTTTGCAATGTTAGGTGAATTGAAAGTCATGAAAAGTTATTTTTAGCTATTTATTTGAGTATTGAAGACATACCGAGAGAAAAAATAGCACAAAACTTCATTAGTTTTTGGGGGGTGGGGATTGAGGGGAATTGTGTCCTTTGTAAAAGGGAGGGGGGGGGGGGTAGAGAAGAAAGTAGAGATTGGTATAGGATTGTGCAGTTTACATAGCCAGAGGAGGAAAGTAAGTTAAGAAAGTGCATCAGATTGCTCTTATGATGAATGTTTGTATGTATGTATAAATATATGTACGTATTATGTATGTACATGTATGTATTTTTATGTTATTGCTTTATATGTGTATATATATGGAAGTGTAGGGGCTGTGACCTGGTGTTGATTTTTATTTAGTTTCTTACACGTTTGCACTTTCGGTATCTTTTCGAATACTTTTGTTGACCCTTAAAAGGGCCTTTTTTTTGGTGGTCATGTGAAAGGAGCACATTTTTCTGTCTTGACATCTCATGTCTGGTATTGTATGTGATCCTCTGGATTGCTTCCCTTGGACTTCAGGGTGAGGAATTTGTAGTTAAGTTGTTTCTTTGTTGTAG